ATGCTCAATTATTACAACTTATCAAAGATTGCACATCAAGTGCTCGAATATTACAAATTATCACAAATTGCACATCAAGTGCTCAAATATTACAACTTATCATAGATTGCACATCAAGTGCTCAAATATCACAATTTGCCACAAAAATCAACAATACCTTATTTTCCACAATAAGGAGCCCATGGCTCGACCATAATGTGCACAAAAAATCATAACAAAATATCCGAAAGTGAACAACTCAACAAAATAATATTTCACATAAAAATCAAGGTGGCAATCACACCAAATCATTATGTAAAAAATAATTTCAACAAACAAGGATCTAGGCATGACAAATGGAGGATTTAATGAGTGCCAATAATTTCCAATTAAATACATAAGGGCGTCTAAGGATTTTTAATCAATGAAATTTGCACATATAAACCAAGTACGTACTCGTCACCTCGCATACATGGTTTTCAATTACACAAATTGCACATAAGACTCAATGTCTAAGGGGTAATTCCCCCACTCGAAATTAAGCAAGACACTTACTTTTTAGAAGTTATACCGATATTCCAAAATCGCCTTCTTGCTTGAATTGGCTTCCGGACAGCTCAAATCTATTCAAATCAGTTGTATAACTTCATTAAAATTAATCAAAAATAATTCCGGATAATAAAACGTCGACTTAGAAACTTATTCCAAAAAGTCAACGCGGGACTCGCCTCTCGGAACCCGACATAATTTTTATGAAATTCAAACACCCATTCCGATACGAGTTCAACCATACCAATTTTATCGAATTTCAATAACAACTCGACTTCCAAATCTTAAATTTTTATTTTTGGAAGATTTTACAAAAATCTTGATTTTTCCTCCATTAAATCCGAATTAAATGACGGATTCAAAGACATAATCATGAAAATTAATCAAAACTGGATAAGAATCACTTACTCCAAACAGCCACGCAAGAATCTCTCAAAAAACCGCCTTCTATCGAGCTCCAAATCTGATTTTGAGTTATGAACTCAAACCCCCATTTTTGGGACTTTTAATTCTGCCCATATAGGCCTTCTTCGCGTTCGCGACCATTACTTCGCGTTTGCGAAGGCCAAAACCCAACTGCCTCGAATCGTTCATCGCGTTCGCGACCTCCTCGTCGCGTTCGCGATGACCAGCTGACTAGCTCCTTCGCGTTCGCGAAGGCCAAACGACCTCAGGCCACACTCTTCCTTTCTTCTTCGCGTTCGCGTTGTCTTGGCCGCGTTCGCGAAGGCTTGCCCAGATCCTTCTTCGCGTTCGCGTTCGCGTCCCCTGCTTCGCGTTCGCGAAGGCCAAACCACCAGCCCCTCAAATTCCTCTTCGCGAACGTGGGACTCCCTTCGCGTTTGCGTAGAAGAAAACCAGATGACAGAAAACAGCAGTTCAAAATAGAAGGAAATGGCTCGTAGCCCATCCGAAACACATCCGAGGCCCTCGGGACCCCGTCTAAACATACCAACAAGTTTCATAACCTATGACGGACTCGATCGAGGATTCAAATCACATCAAATAACGCCGAAAATACAAATCGCACTGTGTATCAAACTTATGAACTTCCAAACCTTCCAACTTCTAAAACGCGTGTTGAAACCTATCAAACCAACGCGGAATGACGTCAAATTTTGCAGGCAAGTCCCCAATAACATAACGGAGTTGTTCCAACTCTTGGAATCGCATTCCGACCCCTATATCAAAAAGTCAAACCCCCCGGTCAAACTTCCCAAAAATTTGATTTTCGCCATTTCAAGCCTAAATTGGCTACAGACCTTAGATTCATAGTCCGAACACGCTCCTAAGTCCAAAATCACCCAACGGAGCTAACGGAACCGACAGAACTCTATTCCAGTGTCGTCTTCACATAGTTCCGACTACGATAATAATCCTAAGACTTAAGATTCCATCTTAGGGACTAAGTGTCCCAAATCTCTTCGAATCATCTGTAAATCAAACTCGACTACACACGCGGGTCATAATACATATTGCGAGGATGCTCGAGACCTTAAGTCACTGAACGTGGCATAAATTCTTAAAACGACAAGTCGGGTCTTTACAGAAATATTTTGCTTGAGATCCAAGACCATATATTCTTCTCTTCTTTTCCCCTCCCGCAGCTTGATAAAATGCTAGAGATTGATCAAAATCAGATTGAGTTTGTGTTCGTTGTTGTAATATTTGCTGATATTTTTCTTGTAAATAGCATAATAGTTAGTGAAATTCATTAATGATAACTGTTAAGTTCTTCAATCAATCAAAAGTTCGCAAAAATTATCTTTAGGACAGAAACATGTGCAAAACAAGTAGTTCAAGTGGTACGTGAATGTCATATATAAAGTTAGTAAAATTATTAGATTTTCGACTTACATGTACAATTCGTGATCACTCACTAACAAAAGATTTTTCATCATGACCATGTGTATGAACGTGCAAATGTAGCTCACTTAGTGTTGGATCTCGACCATTTTTAATAGCCTATACAAAAAATAAAGAACTTTATTTTCTTTGATAAGGTAAAACAGTTTATTAATGGAGGTACCAAGAAGTATACAATAGTACATGAACAAAAAGAATAGCCCCTACAAAAAAATTCAGATTATATACTTCCCAACATATCCAAGAAATCCAAATACTCAAAATAATAACTCAAAAGTTTCAAGGAGATGCTAGGGATTTTTTAAATGCAAAAAGAGCTGGACAATTGTTGATAGAAGGAGTTGAACACATAGAGCAACAGAAGTTTTTGCTGTCACAAAGTGGTACTAATCAGTAGAGTGTTACTCTGTAACAGGCAACTAGTGCACATGTAAATTGCGATGCTGGAAATCTTAATGCTCAGGTGGAGACAAGAACTAATGCATTGGTTATTCCTGCTGGCCAAAGTTTTATGGAAATATCAGAAAAAGATAACAATAGTGGTAAGCAGCAGGTGTTTCACATACAACCTGCTGAAGTTCAAAAACAGTCTGCTATGAGGAATAGTGGTGTGGCTAATTCCGGGCAAAATTGTGAAGGGGCTATGACTGCAGTTGTTGCTGCTCTGTTAACTGGTGAAAATACGGCAGCATCACATGATAAGGGTCCGATTTTTCATATAGATGATGCTTCAAAATTGGTGAAGTGGGCAACCTAAACCTTCAAGAGATGTCCTTGCTTCTACTATTTTTGCAAGGATGTATACAGCTTTGTTGGAGGACAAGGACATCAAATTTGGCAGAAAGCAACATGGTTCCTTTAGTAGCAAATTGTTAGTCAAGTAGTCTATAGTTTTAGTCACAGATATCACATCTGATTGTCATTTTCTTTTTATTCTTACTCTATTGTACTTGCAGTTACAACTTTGCATCTCATTACAACTCTATTGTTCATCCAATTGTCTCACATATTTTCGGAACAAAATCCGGTTGAACTAAATCCCTTTCTATGGTGCAAAAAGCTACATAACTCATATGTCAAGAAAATAGAAAAAAAATGGCAGTCATGATCATCAAAAAGCTACGTATGAAGGCAAATCTGCTGAGTAATATCAAGGTGATATAAGGACTTTATTGGATGAAAAGAAGAAGGTTGTTATGGTGTCGTCTACTGGTAATGGTGGTGATCGTGTGACTGAGAAGATGAATGTAGGAGGAACATGCTCGCAATCATCAAAATTCAATGTCACAATTATTCCAGCTACTGAAGTTCGAGTGGAGCATGGGGTTTCTCAAAATGCACCAACTGATCGGATTGTTGTTACATGTGTTAAAGAAGCTATTAAAAATGTGCCTAATGCAGTTGTAGTTCAAATTGAAACTGGACAAATTATTGAAAAGAAAACAGCTGCTGAAAATACTGTGCAGAGTAATACGGATCAACGAAAAACTTCTAATAAATCTAAAGCTCCTAGGGATATTCCTGCAGCTACTGCTTTGGGGAGGATTTACCAGGCTGTGGGCTCAGCTTTACAAAATCATACAAAGTTATTTATGATTGGTGATCTAGCTACTACATCTGCACGTGAAGTAATTGAAAAACCAGCAGTGGCTACACCTACTGTTATGCACGATAATGGTCGAGGTCTTGAAAGAAAGGAGGAAAGAGCTGGACTTGGTTTTGATGCGTCAAGCAAAACTGGTACAACTCACATTGAGATAGCAGCTACACAAAATTCAGTTATTAAGGCTTTGCAAAATTTAACTGGTAGTGACGGGGCAGAGGTGAGTCGATCACCAACTAAGAGTATGCATCAAGCGTGGCTCATGACCAAGCTGGAAATTTGATGCAACACTTTGAAGTTGCAACTGGTGAATGTGGTAAGCGGTGAATGCTACTAATGTTGCTTGGGATGTATATCAATCAATTATACTTAAAAAAATAGATGTTGAAGCTGAGCAATCATGCAACCATAGGGATATAGAAGCAAATGTGCAGACTGGAAATCTGTTGCAACAAGAAAAGGAAACAACCAGACATGAAAGTGTTCAAGTGGCTGCACATTCCAGTAGCATTTTGGCTGGGAATATTGGTGCATCTATAGCTAGCTTGAATGCCTATAAATTGAGCAACAATGAGGAGAAAAATATGGAGGAAGTATGGACTCTGGTAGCTTGCAAAACGATTGCTGCAAGTCAAAAAATAGTTGGTCTAGATAATGTGCAGCATGGTGATCAAACAGAAGGTGCAAAGGAGTTGTGTACTCTAAACTCTTATAAGGTTTTGCAGCATAATGAACCATTGGAGGATATGAATGACAAGATTGATGATGCTAAGAAGTTGGAACTGGTGGGTGGCAATACAGTCTCAACATCTGCACAAACCAGCTATACATGCGGCATAAAAGAGTGGCAAAACTCCAAGATTACTAGTGGTAGAGTGAAGGAACAGGTTACTCGGAAGATGCTGGAATTGGTTGATGTCAAAGCAGTCTTAAAAGCAGGACAAAACAACGTGAAAGTTCACCAACAAAGTAGAGTTTTTCAGCACTTCACCTTAAAAAAATTGGAAGCCATGCAGATCTCAAGACACCTAAATTAGATTTTAATCACCAAATATCACCAAAATTGGTATTAATCAAGAGTTCAACATAAAAGAAACCCCCAAATCAGATTTTAGCAACAATAAGTAGTAATAACAATATATATTTATGCACAAATGAGATATACCCAGAATATGTCAACCCCTACTTCATATTTAACTTCACATACTACAAAGAAGAAGGGAGAAGAGATGAAAGCTTGATTTATTTTACATATACCAAAGCCCTAAAATTTTTACTATAGAAAAATTGCTAATAAACAGAGAAAAAAGCAGAGACATACCAGTCTTTTAGAAAAGAGATGATCTAGTAGCGCATCTGGGAAGATTAATGGAAGATTAGAGGAGAAGAAGAAGAAGCAAAGGGGCTCGTTTCTTACTGTATTTTTCTGTGAGAAAGACCTTATGTTTTAGTCTTACAAAGGTAAAGATAGCAGCAACACTTATTTTGACACAATTTTTTCCCCTAAATACCTAGTGACAAAAAATTTCCGTAGCAACAAGGGTAAAGATACTCTCATTAATGAAAAAGATTAGTGACATACATGCTTCGTCGCTAAATCCGTCGTTAATATGTAATAAATTTTGTCATCAAATTTTCCTCACTTATTTTGTTGCTAAAATGAGGGCGCCAATTTTTAGCGACGGTTTTTTTTTATTTTGTCGCTACTTTGTTGCTAAATTAGATACTAATTCTTCTACTTATCTTTTTTGCGATAAAAATCTATTTCCGTAGTTAATCTGTCGCTACTTAGCGACGAAAAAATATTTATCACAAAAATCTGTCGCTAAATCGAGTTTTTTTTGTAGTGATAGTGAGATGGTCTAGACCCCCCATGCCATTTTATAAACTAAACAGTGATGGAAGTTGCATGGAAGGGTCGTGTGGTGCAGGAGGGGTGATTAGAGATCATTGCGGAAACTTTATAATGGCATACTCCTTTTATATGGGCAAATGCACTAGTAACTAGGCAGAAGGACATGCCATGCTCATTGGATTACAATTGTGCACAGCAAAAGGAATTGATAATATTGAGGTTGAAGCAGATTCGAAAGTATTAGTGTCAGTCGTCAATGAAGAATCAAATTCGCCATGGAGGTTACTTCAAACGACTGAGAAAATTAAACAAATGATGAAGGAACGAGGGGTAAAATCTAAACATTGCTACAGAGAAGCTAACAAAGTCGCAGACAAATTAGCAGCGCTCAGCCACATTCACAAGCAACAAACAATCTTCTATGACTTTACTGGATTACCAAGAGAAATAAGAGGATTACTTCAGCTGGATAAGTTGGAAGTGGCTTCATTTAGAATTAGGCTGATGAAATCATCAGAAATTCACTTTGAGCCACCATGATGTATGTTAGTAGCTAGTAACTATAGTAGGAATATGTTAGAGCTTCTTTGACAAACATCCATAGAGTTGGAATAAAAGTTCTCAACTGCTAAGAAGGGTTAGGTCTTATGCCCCCTTCCCAAATGTACTCTCTGGCAATCTTACACGAAGGAATGCAATAGCACCGTTTAAAAAAAATATTTACAATATACACATAAAAATTATTTTGATCTTATATATAGTGTAATTTCCAGCGAAGAGGATTCAATTCTCCCTTGCGCCCATAGCTCCGCCCACCTCCTTCCCAAAGCAAAAACTTAGTAGTGGCAAAAAGAACGTATATTCTTACACAGGTTAGGACCAAAACACGATGATATTATATATATAAAAAAAAGGATAATTCGGTGCATAATATAATGTATATTCGTACAAAGGTTAGGACCAAAACATGACGAGAGATTAAAATAAAATGACAGTTTAGTGCATAAAATATCCTGCATTCATGCAGGGTCCGAGAAAGAGCCGCATCCTGAGTGTAAAGGGCCGCACGTCGAGATTATCTAGTCAAATATTTAACTTAGTCGATAAAAGTCCTTCTAGCAAAGATTTATTTGAGTGTTAAATTAATCCCTTTTGCTTCTTTGCCCCCACTCTAGTGTCTCCCTTAACCCCAAACGAGGAAGGAAAAAAAATAATAAATAGTACTAGTCAAGATCAGATGCATACTAAAGTTTCACGAAACTGTTCTTTTATTTGTTTACATGCAATATATAACTTTATTTTGTGCTAAAAGATAGAGTATATAGTTTTTGCAACAAAAGGGCACCACTGCTTTTGGTGGTGAATAAATTAAACACCCAAGTCATGGTTTATACGTCACACCTTGTGTCATCATTTGCAATAACAAATCCATGGCTAATACTTTATTAAATGTTCAAATTAATTAATATAAAAATTTATAAGCCACTTCCTTTGTTTGATTCGCACATAAAAAAATCTTGTCAATTCAAAAATGTTAATAGCAAGAAAATTAGATCTAGTTTCATTAAGTGGAGTTAACCAATGGGTAAAGAAAGAGTCAAAAATAAATTCCTGCCATAGTTTTTCTTTTTTCGGGTGTACATTTATTAGTGGTCATATAACTATGATTATTTTTCATCAAAGTCATATTACTATATGTTTTCATACAAAAATCATAAAACTTTCACTAACTCACACAAAAATCATAGTAACCGAAAAATATATTTTTCGGTAGTATTTTCTTTTTTTATTTTTTTTATTTTTCGACTAATAAATAATAATCTAATTAAAATAAGAATGAATTAACCCGACCCGACAATAACCATATATATAAATTAAAATAATACTAAAAGTGACATACTAAACCAATAAGTATATGACATGTTTCTTCTATGTACATAAATCATTTAACTATGGTTAATTTAATATAATATATTTTTAATTCATTCATTACTTAAACTATGTTAAATCTATATGATTTGGTGTAAACGTGAATTAATTTCTTGCGGGTTGCAGTTATCAGGTTTCGTGCGTCTAGAATGCAACGTGTCGCCTCTTGTGTGTTTCAACCTAGTGAATGAGATGAAGGCATATAAGAAAAATGCTAGATATTTTAATTTCTGTGAGTTATTTTAATACGAACATTATATAAAGTTTTAATAATAAACTTATTAAACTTCGACTTCAAATATTCTTTTGCTCAATCTTGCAAATATTTTCCAACCACATGCGTAAATAAATAATCAGAGGCGAATCTAGGATTTCAAGAGGATGGGTGCACTATTATGAAGAAGTGTTTCTAGAATTTATATTTGACGGGTCTAACTTTAGTCACTTACCATGAAACCACTACACTTTTGAAATTATATGTTCAAAATTATATCTTTTTTGAAAAATTTGTAATTTTCACATATATATCTATATTTCGTGCCGAAATCAAGACCGTTCAAAGTGGAATTTGAACCGTCAATTTCACTTGTAGAGGTGCACCCAACAATACTTGCACCATATGAGTTTTTGAGCATGAGTTCACACACATATATTTAAATAATTTTAAAGAAATATAACATTATTATACAAGATACCCCTGCGTAATATCTTTATCTGAAAGCGTGTAGTAGTACCTTGACTTAGAACTTCAACTAGTACTTAATTGTTTTTTCTATATATGTGAATCACCATCGCTTACATATTTAGAAATTAAGAATCTGGTACCCTTATACCTTGCACTTGCATCATCACTTTCCTTGAATTGAAAGCATCTAGAACACTAAATCAAGTACATATGTGATTAAGCTATATGCATTGTTAATATAATTAATTTTTATACTATCAGTATAATTTAACTGATTATTGCTACTAGGATCTCTCTATTTTTTAAATTACCCTATTAGACTTGATGTAAGAATTACATATTATTATAGGTCAAGTTTATAAGATGATATAGTAATATATACATTGTCAGTGCACAGAGCTTAGAGTCATATCTTCCTAAGTTATATTATTGTTCAATTGTGTAGAATAAGAAATGTCATTTAATTTGCTTAAAACTTTATTTGCCATCTTAAAAGGAGTAATTTGCCGTTAACAACATAAATTATGCGTGTTGTGTTCTTTGGTTTTAATACAATACTATTATTTTAGAACTTAACTTACATACCGATATTGTAAGGATTTGTACTCTATGAGGTAAAATTTACCCGTTGTATGTAACTTGCCTTACTTATAAGATTACAAATTTATTTTTTGTGAATATGGTTTGCCTATATAGATATCTTTTGGGTGATTTGATATAGTATTAAAAATTTCTTCACACTGTTTATGTACGTATGTTAAATTTATTATTTTAAGAGTTTAGTTTCTGCACATTGTCGCTATAAAAAAGATTTATAAAATCAGGTCACTTATAAGATAACTACGTGTAAATCTCTATATGAAATATTTATCAGTAATTATTAGTGTATAAACTTAAACTTGTATTTTAATGCTCACCTCCAGTTTAGTAACCCTCCAGCTCTACCAGTGCGTATCTAGTTTAATGACATCTGTTTTTCGGCCTCAGTCAATTTTTGTCAAGTTTTAGTGCTAAAATGAAAGTTGAATTCGTAATAGTTCTTGTTATGAAAATAATTATATTGTGGATGTTCATTTATTACTCCGCTATAGATTATTTTCCTAAAGAAGATTATCCATTTAATACTCTGTTGAAGTTTATCTACAAGCATCTGATGCAGGCAGGTTGCAAGCAACTCAATGAAATGATTTGCAGCAGCTTCTTATTAAACAGGCAGGTTGCAAGCAGCTCATGCAGACAGCTTATAAGCAGCTGGAAAAAAAAAAGTCTTGCAACTGCTTCCTGAAAAGCCTCGCAGGTGCTTCCTTTCTTCTATAAATAGAGGAGTTTTCAGTTCATTATGTACATAAGTTTGAAGTTTGAATAATATATCAGTTTCTCTCTATACTTGTCTTTACTTTACAGTTTTTATTTTATAACACGTTATCAGCACGAGACTCTGCCATTTTGAGCACTTACTTCGAATTTAATTTTTATTTCAGTGTTCATCTCCGATTTAAGGCAGCACTCTTATGTCCGTGGTTAGATCTTGTTCATTCCTAGCATCATAAGGCATATTGTATCCTTGAGTTGGTGAGTTTTTCTTCTTGGCAGTAGTGATGTAGATATCACTTACATATGGAGTAGCCAAATTTGCGCAATTTAATTTGAGCCGTTTGCTTATATTTTAATATTTTTATCATCGCTTGCTTGGTTATATGTTACGTATACAGTACCTATTTTGGTATTTGTTTTCATCCTTATTATCTTAATAAAGGATTACAAAGTGGATAACATTGTTAGATCCACACAAACTCCAGCAGAGTTTGCAAGAAATATACAATCACCAGAAGTGGTTATATTTCGTATATCTCATTATAACTAAATTTTGTTAACCACCGGAAGTGGTATATGCCTATGACTACCAGAAGTGATAATTTAGACTTTATATGGTTACAATTAAAGATAAGCTAGAGATATATTCTCTATATTACATGCACGCCTCGATTTGCTCCTGAAGTAGTAAATATTTTAAAAGAGGTTGAAGCATCACAATTTGATGTGATTA